CTCCTGAGATACGTCTTGTGCTATTGGTTAACATCCAGTCAATTCACAGGTCTCCTTGTGAGATATTTGTCTTATCCTGCTGTCAATGGGATACTAAATCCTTGGACTATCAGAAATGCCCACTGCTCCTCTAAGGGATGTTCCCTTGTTATCTCCTGCCCATTCCTCCAGGAATTCCTTTGTCTTAACTCAAATGTCTTCTGTACCTCACCTACAAAAATCATGGTACACTACTTAAAATAACAGCTAAAGAGTTTAATAGAGACATCCCACATGGATTTAAAAACAAAAAAAGAGAGCTTCCAAAAGTCATGAGGTCACTAAATCAGGACCAGGGATAGGGATGGGCTACCTCCCTAAGAACTGCGGCCCCCACACCATGCCTGCTATCGCCACTGCAGTTGGGCACACAAGAACTCGACAATAGGTCCCACCACCAGTAGGTCTGGTTATAGGACATGGAGAATCAAGCAGGGGCCAAACCAAAACTCTACTGGCTGGCATTCATAGTGCTGGAAGGTACTGTGCAGGTGGTCAGGGGAGAACAGTCTGTCCTTAATGCTCCTGCTAGGTTATACCCTTAGTATGATGTACAGGATGTGCCACAAGAACAATAGTGACACTAGTATGGGTGCACCCTACCTCATTTCATTTGGATCTTAGACCCGCTCCATGGGAGAAGAACCGTGTTTGGTACTGTAAGCCAGGACAGAAACTTGTGGCTAAAATCATAGAACCCAGAAGGAAAGCACTACCATTGTTGTGTGAAAAAGGATCTCATCTTGATGTTTAGGATCTTCTTAATGTTTTCTTTAGTTCTCTTTAGCTACTGAGCCCAAGAAACAGTTCACATTCACCTGAAAGAGACAGAAAGGAACCTTGAGCGAGCACTCACAAGATTACTGCACTTTCAGCCCCAGTTGAGGGGAACCCTTTCTTGTAACAGGCAGCAACTCTAGCAACAACCAATAACAATCCAAATGCTGGGCATCAAAAGTTTTAACTGTAAATGATGCCAGGGCTTTTAGCCAATACCACAGATAAATACCAACAACAAGGACTTCTGAAACAGACTGCCATGTCATTCTAATCCACCATTTCAGTCTCAGCCATCACTCCTACTAGACAGATAACAAGGACAAAAGCTGAATCCATAGGTAAGTTCAATGATCCTCTTCAGAGGGAAGTAGTTTAAGAGCTCTATGGCCCTCGTCCCTTACAAGATGAGAATCATGGGGACTAAGCATGGAGTTAGGAAACCTGAGGGCTGAGAACCATGGCTTGGGGGTTGATAAGGAATTAAATCCTGAACTGCTGGCTTAACAAAATGGCTTATGACACACAGCAGGGTTTTGTTGACCTGCAGCCCATAAAGCCCAGCCATAGTCTGACCATCGAAGGTCAAAAACTTACCCTACCTGACACATAGCCCAGTTCCTGAGAGTTAATGACACAGAACCATTTTCTAGGACTAACCACTCCCATCTCTACAGACCCCAATAAAAGCTTGAGGTCTTGGGACCAGGGAAGTGCTCCTTCTTGAGTCTGCCCACCCTCCTGTTGAGGGTTCACTTTTGCTTCTTTTACTTAATTAAATAAGTCTGCCCCACTTTCGTATCAGCACAGCAGCAGCACTCCCTGTGCTCAGTTACCTGCTGCTTGCTTCTCTGTGTCCTTGTCTTGGTAAATTCTTTTACCAACTGGTGGCACCTACAATTCCTAACAACAGGTGAGCACATCTGTCAAGACCCATAATGATCCCACCAGGCACTTGGGAAGCCTTGTTCAGGTACTTGGGTGTGTGTTTATAAATCAAACTCCCACACTGCACTGGCCGCCCGCACGGTCCTGGGGAACGGACTTGAAGATGTTCCTTGGTCACCCCACATGGCCCAGTGACTGCTGTACCATGTTACAGACAAGAAAGGTCACAGAGTTTACGAGCAGTGGAGCTAGAATCTGAGCCCAACCATCTGATCCCAGTGCCTGTGCCCAAGCACGACCAGTACCTCTACACGTCCTCAAGGGGGCCACTGCCAACTTCATCAGAAACAACCTAACCTCAAGAAGCATGAGTGTTTGGATGGATGGTGATGCGTGGTGTGGGTGATGACTTCTTACCTCTGCCGATGATCCAGAAACTCCAGAAAAAGGTATATTGGACAGAATGATGCCCCTCCTCTGCAAGAATGTCACACCCTGATCTCTATAACCTGAGACAATGCGAGGCCATGTGTCAAAGAGAAACGAGGTCGCATATGGAAAATGTTGCTAGTCAGCTGGCATGAAATAGATAGATTATCCTGGATTATCTAGAGACCTCAAGAGAATCACAAGAGACCTTAGAAGTACAAGAAAGAGCCAGAAAAGGAAGTTGCCATCAGATAAGAGGATGGGAAACAGCAAAGAGATGCAACCCTGTTGGCTTTGAAGATGGAGGGAGTGACCTTGAGCCAAGGAGTGGGGTCAACCTCTTACAAGCTGAAAAAGGAGAGAAAGGACATCTTTTCTAGAGACTCCCAAAGGAAACAGACCTGCCAAACTTGACTTGAACCCAGTGACCTCCAGAAGTGTAAGATAGTACATGGTGTTGTTAAACTGATAAATGTGAGGTTATTTGTTACAGCAGCCATGAGAAAGTAATACAGCATCATCGGGGTATCACCATAGAGAAACAGGCTCTGTGGGAGGAAACCAGGAGACCTGCCTTGATTCAGCCACTAAGAAGTGACAGATGCGAACAACATTCTCAGCCTCAGAGCCTCTTCGTGCATTTCTAAAATGTTCCAACTTGTGCCTCTGGCACTATGGTTAGTGCTGCTTGAAGTCTAGTTAACTACAGATTACAAAGATGTACCAGATGTTTTATTGATTTGTAAGGAGCCCGAGGCAGAAGTTTAAGAGTTTTTTGAACCTAAGACAAAAACTGCTAACTGTTATCAACTAGTTTCTCCCATTCCTAGCAAAAAGAAAAACTTCTTAAATATCCATAAGCGTGTACTTTTCTTGTTAATAATCACAAACATGGCTTTAAATCAGTATAAGGAGACCCTTGAAAGTCCATAGAATTTTGCTTGGGGTCACTGAGCCAGCCAACTTGGACACATATCCAAAGTCAATCCCTTCAATTCACATGAGCTTTAGCTAGGGCAAACAGACAGCAGAAGAGAAGGGAACTGCCCTGCTTGCATCCTTCTGATGGGACACAGGATATCTCTGTAAGGCAAGAGATATGGGCATCCTCCCTCTCGAGAGCTATGACAGTAAGTGACATTCACAAGATTTTTTGGTATTGGAACCACAGTAAAAAAAAATAATAATAATAACAGGTAGTGTTGCACTTGCATATTCCCTCATGTGACTCCTACGTAGGAAACCTTTTCTTTTGTTTCTCAGTACTGTTTATGGAACCCGTGGCCTTGCATATGTTAGGAAAGTAAGTGCTCTACCACTGAGCTACATCCCTACCTCTTTGGTTTTTTGAGATGGGACCTTGATATGTAGTTCAAGTTGGCCTCAAACTCCTTCCACCTCCACCTTCAAGTGCTGGGATTACAGATGTACACCACTAACACAAAGCTTTGAAAAGCATTTTATCACTTCAAAAATTTCTTCATTTTTATTTCCAGTTGTGGAAATAAAAGTATATTGTAGAAGTTTAATCCATCACAATTTTACAAGGGCACTGCACAGCAGACCTTGGACTCATTTTTACAGAGGGCTAGTATTTATTGACCTATGTTGGGGAGGACACCAATTAGATATAATATCGCACACACAACTCCTGGCTTCATGAAATATTTACCAAACCTCCTTCAGAAGAATGCTGGGGATTAAATGACGTAAGACACCACAGCTACCCTCTTGCCCTTTCTGGCTCTCACCCGCGCTCTTGTCGATTCTCCTTCCTTATGGGAAGTGTTAGACATCACCTCTCTCTGTGTTTGTTTCTCATTTCATTAGTCGGCCTAGCTTTCGATTGCACTGCACATCAAGTACTAAGCCAATGTTCTATTCCCACTACGTCTTCACCTAAAGTAGTGCACTTTCTAAAAAGTGAATTAATAATAGAAGAAAATGCTAGGTAACTTTAACGTTTGTTCAGCACATTCACTGCACAGAAATCCTCTGGGATCTGGGGTGCAGAGGGCTCAGCCTCTTGAGCTGACAATATGAGGAAGAGAGATGACCATGAGAGATCAATTAAAAGAACAGATATCAAGAAGAACCAAGTGTGAGCAAAGAATGCTTTAGACTGACGTGCAATTTAAAGCTTCTGCGAGAAGGTGAAACTACTAAAGAGACAGTCCTGGAAGACCTGGAGGACAGTGCTCCTGGAGCAGAGGCCTTCAAAGACATCACTAGTCTCTGCTCTCCTTCCTGAGCTTCTGTCCTGCACCATGAGCGCACGGCCCAGGGAACAGCTTCTCCATAGCCTGGGTCCTGGGGTAAGAAAGCGTGTGCATCTCAGGCAGGCCTAAACGAGTGAAGCCAAGAACTGCAGCAGGGCCCAGAAGACTGCAGCCAACCTTCAGCACCCTTCAGCAAGAAGTAAATGTTTGTCATTGCAACTGCAGAGATTTCAGGACTACTTGTTCCTGGGCCAGAAGCTAACTACTACAGGAATGCCTTTCAAATCAAGGGCTTAAACAACTGTGTAGCTAGAGTTTTGTGTTAGTGATTTGCAGCACCAGTGGGCATGGGAAAGTGGGAAGCAAATCTTTACAGTAATAGTAGCTGTTTAATGGAGGATAAGATTCAACATTTACGCTCCTTGTGTTTGGAGAATAAATTATTTGCATTCAGAATTTAACATCTCCAATACAATTTCAATTCCTTTACATTCAATTTGTTAATTATCAAACATTTTATTCCCTGGAATTGTTCAATTCACATCCACTCAAAAAGAAAGTGTATTGGAGTTAAAACTGTTTTCCTACCAGAGGTTGGCTCTAAAGAATTTAAAAACAGGTCACTTCTGGGTTCTTTTGCCCACAGACATGTCGCTCTTCGCCACCACGGGCCCTCGTTGCGCCATGATCTTCAGCGCCTTGGGGGCCGAGATGGCACAGCCAAAAGTGACACCGACATTGCAGCCATGTCTGTCATGCGGCTGGAACTGATCATGAAGTCCATCGTCCCAGTGGTCCTGGCGGGCATCATCGCCAACTCCCTCAATGTCCACATCACCCTCTACGGGAATTTCCCCCAGCCTGGTGCTGCCTGAGCGCGGGCTTTGCCCTCGGCATGGTGGGGACGCTGGCGTGCGGGGCACTGCCCAGCGGCCCTGGCTGTTCGCGGGCATGAGCCTGATCCTCATCTTCGCTGACGTGCTTGGCCTCTCTGGGCTCATCGTGGCCCTCATCCTCTCCACAAAGTAGCCCCTCTCCAAGCCCACCAGCCACAGAATATGATGTAAAGGCCACCCCTCCTCATTCCAGAAGGAACAGCCTGACACACACGCACGGGCAGCTGCCCCCTCCGTAGTGGTCTTGTAAATGCGCAGTGTCCTAGTGCCCATGGTCTGTTCCCCCGCCTGGCCCCTGCCACCCTGTGCTGTGGACAACTGGGCCCAATCATCTCCCATCCCTGACAGGATGCGGGCATCCAGCCACCCTGCCCATCACCCTAGAGTGCTGTGTATAAGGACGAATTAGTTGTCATTTTTCCCTTCATTGGATATTTATTTATAAAGATTTGACCTGTTCGTGCCTCTGTGGAGCAGCCCTGTCTCCCAGCTACACAGGAACCTTAGTAGAGTGTTGCCTTGTGGGGTTCCTGTTGCCGAGACTCTGGATGGAGCCGCTCTCCCTCCAGCCACGTGGGCTGCCAGGCTGGCGGGCAGAATGCTGGCTGCCAGGCCCTGGCACCCTGCTCTGTCCAGTAAAGTTCTCCCATATGAAAAACAAAAAGAATTTAAAAACAGAAACGGGATTAGGGAAGGATGAAATCCCTTAACTGGGATCACTTCCTCCTGGTTATTCATCCCCTGGGGCAAGCCAGGGATTCACAGCTGGAGGAGGTTCCCTGACAGCCACACCTGCTCATCAGAAGAAGCAGATGCCCCCTGGGTGGCCTGCTGTAAGGTTGGAAGTTCCTCAAACCCGGCCTCTTGTTCTTTTCATTCCAGTTAGGATGAAGCCAACATAACCAAGACAGGAACAGATTTGCTTGGAAATTCTAACTGGTTTATGAATAATTTTGTTTTATTCCGTGTAATTACATAATCTTCATGATTAACATTTTAATGACTGCCCAATGAATTGGTATAGCCAATGCATTTTTAATTAGGTTTTTGTACAACCTACTGTCCTCTACTGAGAAAAATTCAACATTCATGAAAGTTGGTAAATCTACATCATTAAATGAAAAAAGCAAGAGATACAAAATAATATTCTTTGTATGTCATTAAAATTAAAGATAATAATAAATATTTATGTGTGAATATATTTCTGTTCATCCTAGATAGGTGAATGTTAAATGCTAAACAGAGGGTGAGACTGGATGTGTTTGGTTTTTGTTACTCATTTCTACATCATTTAAATTCTTTATGATGAACACATTGTTTTTCTGTAATTAAAAAACAACAAAGATATTTACCAAAAGGAAATAGAAAAGAAATCATTCATTTCAGAAAAGGTTAAAGATGTTTTCCAGGCAGTTAAGATGTTCTGAAACAGGGCTTGACCAGAATAAGATCTTTAGTGAGGCATTAGGTCTGAGGGACAATGAAAACTCCAGCTCCATGTTACATGTCTTCACAGTCTAAGACATGCTTAGTGCTGCTTATTTCACCTTCATATGGATATAGTATTAATATTTTATGGCCTTCTGTTGTTTCTCTCTGTTTATGAGTATCTATATCCAGAATAACCAAGTCACGGATCACAAACATAAAAGCACACAGCTAAATTCACATTTACACTTAACATCGGAAATCCCTGATACCTTGGAGAGGCACACTTGGACATTTTGATCTACCCATTTTCGCACTGTTACTGTGTGCTGAGCTCAGAGTGCTTTGCGCTCCAACTGTAAGTAGCCAAGCGTGCATCGCATCGAAAGGCACCTGAACTCCTTGGGTGTAAAGACAGCCACTGGGAGCCCACTTTGTAAGGTCTGCCTGGGGCTCCTGCCTTCAGTGCCTTCCAGGATGCAGGGAAATGCTCCCAGCTCCCTTCCCCTTGTTCGCCTCCACCTCCTGCTCCTGCCCTCTTTCTCCTTCAGGAAATCGGAAAAGTTCAGAGCATGGAACATGGATGGATCTCAGAATCCCAGGTGGACAACCTTCCCCCAAGAGATTATAGTTCCATCCACTTTCCCTTTGCCTTCGGTAATTTGAGCTTGACAGAAACTCAAAGGTCACCAAAAGCTCCAGGAGGAGCTCAGTGCTGAGTCAAACTCTCCAAATTTAGCCCAGATCCCTCTCCAAATGCTGATTCACCAGGCTTCAACACGCAATGTGTCCATCAAGACTGGCTGGCTGGAGCAACTGAACAGAATCTCCAGCCTTGCAAGTCTTGCCTCATTTCAAGACTTGAAGTGTCCCGGGGTTTCTGTTGAATAACAGAAAGGCATCGCTGATATTGGACAGGGCCATGCTGTTTGCTGATAGCATCTCTAAGAACAGAGTCCCACCCAAAATAGTCCCCAGGCGATGTGTGCCAACCAGTTACCTGGAATTGGTGCTCTGTGGTTTTCCTCCAACGTGACAGCCTCTTACAAACTGTGGGTGTCTTATAAATTGTTGTTTAAAAGGAATTGCCTTTAAGATTTATTCAACAATTCTAGTCAGGGCCTTAACATTTGAAGTTCACAAATGCTGCGGCATTCTTTTCACTCTTTCTCTATAAAATTAACAGCTCAGAAGTACCAGTAGTAACCTGTTACCCCCCCGGCCCCTGTGACTTGGCAAAGCTCAGTGCGTCACAGTCAGGCCCCCTCAGCATCATCCTCTCAGTGGGGACATTTGGGGGAGGAGTAGCCACGTGCCAGACCTCCCCAAGGAAGTGAGGATCATCTGAAGTCCTTTTAATGAAATAGTGGCCCTGGGGCTGAATGTAGACTCATTCCATCTGGAGGTCTGCAGGGGACAGGAGGGAGCAGCCGCATGAGAGCCTCTGCTATCTGATCCTGGGGTTGTGAGAGCTTCCCTGCACCCATGCATCAACTCCATGTTTATCCCACCCTGTAGGTTCCACTCCTGGGTGTAAAGGCTGTGCAGGTGAGCCAAGACAGCAGGACGTGCATCTTCCCAGAGTTTACCACTCATCCTCATCAAAGAGGCAGAACTCTTAGGAACTGATGAGAAAGACAAAGTGAAATGAATGTTAAAACGTGACATTCAGAGGATTGGAGAATAAGCCCAGACTAATAGCAGGAGACTGGTTATGTGCCACAGCCAGCTCTGCTATGCTCAGTACAGAAAGGAAAAACACAAGGCCACAGTGAGTGGCCTCTGCACCACGAGCAGAGCACAGAGCTCTGGACTCAGGTTCTCTCTGACCCACTCGAAGTGAACTGGAACGCTCAGGCCTTTGTCTGGGTAATTATGGTTTGCTTTTTTAATGCCCATCAGGTAAATACACATAATTGAGCCCCCCAAAAGTGTAATTTTCTCTTTTAATTACCTACATAATTGCCTTAATTTTCACTTCATTTTGCATATATGACTATAACCTTCTTTCCTCCTTTTGCAAAGTCAGCATGAAGCAAAATTTTCTCCCAACATCCACAATGTGGATGTGCATGTGTGCATGTGTGCATGTGTGCGTGTATTTTATGATGAGGAATTAGGAGGTGTGACTGTAATAAGCACATATCATGCCCTTCCCTCATAATTTCCCAGCTCCTCCTCCTCAGGAGAAGGAAACACAGATAAGGGAAGGCATGGTGCCAAGGCAGGACGTGGGGATGGACAGTGCTTGGTGGTGGAGGAGGAGGAGAAATGGGACGGAAGAGCACAGTGCACAGATGGGAAGTGCCACTGTGCTGGGAGGGCCTGTGGGAGCTTGCCTAACATGACTGAGTAGTCAGACTGCCTGGGTTCAAACTAAGGCTCAATCACGTACAAATTAGATGACTTGAGCAAGTCACCTAACCACTCTTGGCTTGGGTTTCTCATTTGTAAAGTGGAGATAATAAAACCTTTCCTTGTGGGTTTAAATGGTCACTATCTTCAGATTGTTTCATCAGTATCCATAGCATCATAGCTCTATTTGATTGTGCTGGATAAGTGGATGGATGTATGGAGGGGTGAATGGGTGGATTGTGGATAGATGGGTGGGCAGGTGAGCAAATGAATTCCACTCATTATGGATGGAGGGGTGGAGGGGTGGATGAACAGATGGATGGGTGGGTGGAGAGTCTCTACATAATAAATTTTCTTTTTTTTTAATTTTTATTTTTTATTATTCATATGTGCATATAATGCTTGGGTCATTTCTCCCCCCTACCCCACCCCCTCTCTTACCACCCACTCCGCCCCCTCCCTCTCCCCCCCACCCTCTCGATACCTGGCAGAAACTATTTTGCCCTTATTTCTAGTTTTGTTGAAGAGAGAGTATAAGCAATAATAGGAAGGAACAAGGGTTTTTGCTAGTTGAGATAAGGATAGCTATACAGGGCATTGACTCACATTGATTTCCTGTGTGTGGGTGTTACCTTCTAGGTTAATTCTTTTTTGATCTAACCTTTTCTCTAGTTCCTGGTCCCCTTCTCCTATTGGCCTCAGTTGCTTTTAAGGTTTTAGTTTCTCTACATTGAGGGCAACAAATGCTAGCTAATTTTTTAGGTGTCTTACCTATCCTCATATCTTCCTTGTGTGCATAATAAATTTTCAATCAAATTGAACCAAAAACTTCCAATAACTTACATTTCCCATCTGCACAATAGAAATGTTTCTTTCTATAGCCTTTATCTTTGCCTTACAGGATTTGGGTCAGGTAAGTTAGGTGAAAACTCTGATATTATGTAACAACCTGGCCACATACAGCCTTTCCAACTCCCCTTGATCCACCACCTGTGCCCTGTTTTGTTCCCAGCTGAACTCATAGACAGTAGACTTGTGCATAGCCATTATCCAGAGTCACCTCATTGTCTCTCCACCCAACACCCACACCACTGTCAGTGCCACAACCATTGTCCCCAGGCTGAATACCTCAAAATTATTTTTTACCTCTTTCCCTTTCATTTCCACCAGCCCCATATTCAATAGTCAATAAGCTACTGAAGGAGTGCACATCTTTGAAATTGTATGAGAGATGTAAAAGACATTTTAAAAAAATGAATAAGAATGAATAAAAAGGAATATTTTCTCTTTATGTCCATTGAATCTCTTATGACCAAGTTAGTGGAAGTCCTCCTACAGGAGGACTCCTAATTCCCCAAGGTCCTCTGAGGTCAGGGCCATATATCTTGGGTATCTCCTGCCAAATGATTTCCCTAGGCTGGATTCTAAGGTAAAATTCCCAAGACTGCCACCAAATACTACATTTCAGTGAAATCTCCTGTCCTAAGATGC